ATATTAAAACTCTTCTAGTAGGCGTTCACCCAGCAGTCTTGTTAAAGGAAGAATGTGGAATTTGGAATGATAATGAAAATAACTGATGGTGAAAAATGAAAATAATGGCATACAACTAAAAAATAAGACTATGTGGTGGCAGCAGTTTGCTAACTTGCAACTAGTAAGACAAAAGACAAAAAATCTATAGGTTCCCCTCTAGTATTACTTGCAGTAGACAATTTACTAATAGATTGTCTAAGAGGGGTCAGAAGTGCTCTCTAAGAAGCAATCAAAAATTTGAAACTAGTAGACAATTCAGTTTTTGATCTCCTGTTAGTCTGTCAAAAGTAGATTGTCTATAATAATGGGAATTTCAACCCAATGAGACATACCATAGACAAGAACCTTGAATAACTGAAAGTAGTCCCACAGCCTTCTTTATAATTGTCAACCAATGAACTGTTCATCCTTCTCTCGTACTTTGTTCAATCTATGACAACCAGCACACGTTGAATTCATTAACCTAAAGCTTACAAAAGAGACAAAATACCAGCCACCATCACAAGGAACAAAGAAACCAATATGGGAATGGACACAGAGGATAAGCCAAAACAGCAGAAGATGAGAAGAGGATTTGATTCTAGTGGCAACAACAATTGGTTGCAACCTGGTGCCCATAAATTTTGTGTGGCCATTTGACACAGGACTTTACAATTCTCAAGCTTACAATAGACCCCAGCATGTTTGTGATTGCTTTTGTGCCATAGYAATGTGCTTCAGTCTGTGCAACAAAATTAGTATTCTAATGCATCTCAATCTGGATTCACCCAATCATCAAATAATATTCCTACTGCAGAGGATATGATACACAACAACCCCAAGATTTACATTGACAGTAGTATCAAGGTATCTGGACTCATGGCATCAAAAGCCAAGATTCACGCATATTCAATAATAATCTAAAATAACCATCCTGGAATCACTATACAGTGGAATAATTATTCTGGAACATAGTAGTGGTCTTGGTTGTAAGGCATGACCTCACATTTTGGGAAACATAATACAAAACCTGGTACTATCAACAATCAATAATTATTTGTACAATTGATTTCAGGAAATACTACTACTAGATATCCTCAGGCAGCATCCCCAAGGTTTATGTGCCATTGATATCATTGATATTATTGTCAGTTGTGTCCGTGAACCTCTCCAAAACCTAAACTACTAGTAAGAGATAAGACCACTCTCAACTCACTCCCCTGAAAATGACCCTTTCTTGTGTTTTCAGTGTTGCAGTAGTGGTAGTAGTAGTAGTAGTAGTAGTAGTAGTAGTAGTAGTAGTAGTAGTAGTAGTAGTAGTAGTAGTAGTGGTAGTAGTAGTAGTAGTAGTAGTAGTAGTAGTAGTAGTAGTAGTAGTAGTAGTAGTAGTGCAACACTGAAGCTTCAACAACTCTTTTCATTTGTCATCCTGATACATATGAATGGGAATTGCTGACTAGTAGACATCCCCTAGCTACGAGCCTCAGCAACGGGAAAAATACAAAACATTGATGGTAGTACTACTACAATTACAAATAGGATCCTTGTTAATGCAATTCTCATATTATTCCAATATGTGTGTAACAAAGATGATATTATTTTGGATTGGTGCAATGCAGATAATATTGTTCCTTGTTGTCATAGTTGTAGTAGTAGGCTTCTTGATGATGTCAAAAATCTTCCACTACTAGCATTTCTTAGTCACCATTGTATTTCATGTTTGTTGTCATACGAGAGAATCTTCTTGTATTGTCAGTCTTACTACCTTCTAGAATACAAAGTAGGAGATASCAATTTACCATCAGTTCTTCATTTAGTAGAAGTAGTAGTCTATGTCTTGGTGTACCTTGTTGTACATTMGTAGAAATAATAGGGTACTTCTTCTTCTTTCAGTAGTACTACTAGTACTGCTAGTCATACTACTAGTGACTTCACACCATTATTTGTTATTCATACTGATTTTTTAGAAAGAATTCTTTTCCTTTCTGTCCTTCAGCAGGATTACTTCTGTTATTATTATTAGTAGTAGTACTAAATCATTGCCAATTGTACTTGTGGTCTGGGGAGACAAACTTGTCAATAGTGAGGAGGAGCATTAGTAGTAGTAGTACTCCTAATTCATTGCCAATTGTACTAGTGGTCTAGGGAGACAAACTTGTCAATAGTGAGAACAACTACTAGTAGTATTCTTAAAGAGAAATGAAACTTAGTTTGACGAATAAATGCAACAGCAATGGTGGGGGACTGCAATTGGTTATTTTGTGTGTAGCACACCATGKTAGTAGGTATGATGAGCATACTAAAACTAGCCAAAATATGAACATACAAACAAGAACTATCTAATTGATCAAAATTTYTTTTTCTAGTCGTGTTTCTCAAATACTATTTTTGGCTACTACTAGGAACAAACAGATCTAAATGATTGAAATAATTTCAGCACTCTTTGAAAATGAACCATCATCTGAACACAATAGAACTGGATACCATTGTGAGGCTAAATCCCAAGTAGCTACTAGTGAATAACCTCACTCCTCTATTGGAAACCAAGTATGAGCACACAGTAATTARGAATATGTCAATACTCACAGTTTATGAGCAACAAGGACACGTCCCTAAAATCATCAACAACCATCAAACCACTTGGATAGCAACGCTCCTCCAGAAAGCAGCTTCACTTACTGCTCTTTCCTGAAACTCAAGTGTTTTGATCAACAATTGTCCTGAATTTTTTGGTAGGAAGCTACTGTGGGAATATTGCACCTTTGAAAATGCTTCTATAGGTATTCTTTTCACACGAATTTTCTAATACAAGAAAATTGCGAAAATTGGATGTATTGCTGTTACTACTAATTTGAACCCTCATTAAAAACAATACTTACGAGTAGGTAAAGAGGTTGATTTAAAATCGACGTGGAYTCTCTGAACAGACCGCTCTCTAATCGGCATGCTGCACTCTTCCGAGCAAATCCCAGAATCCATCCATGGGATGTGGTGAATTTGCTAGCTTCTCGAAACTTCGAGCTTTTTCAGCGATTTCCTCGTTCGACATACCATCCATCCAAGGCACAGCACCGCGAAGATCGTTTGCTTGTCCTTTTGCCAGCATGTTTAGTATCAACTCGGCTTGATCGCGTAGTGATTGGCGTCTCTCTTCTTCTTTTTGAAACACCTTTTTGTTCTGTATTCGAACCTCCTCTCTGTAGCTCTCTGAATCCGTTTCTCGGAATTGCTGGTCTCGCAACTCTTGCAATTCCTTTCTACTGCATTTTTGTGTGGTTTCTCCAGTGGTTTGAGCCGCAAACTTGTGGAATTTTTCATAAAGAGGAGTTCCGAAGAAATTCCAAGCGATATCCATGCACTTTGTTCCCTTTGCTGTTCGGGGTCGTGTTCCTCTCCCACCTCCGATGTGGTGAAATGCACCCGTGCATTCCGGGTCGTAAATGGCATTGCACGATTCGTTTTTCGTCAACCGAAGAGCCGCGTGGCAGTTTTTGAGTGCAACTCGGAACGCATAATTAGCTTCGACGTAACGATCATGGAAAGCGTCCCCGGGTTCTCCGAACTGTCGACCAACCTTTTGCAAATCGGAACGACGATACAAACCAGCGCCGTTCGTGTAAGATCCCCAAATGGCTCCGGCCTTGGCGCCKACATCTGCACAGAAAATTCGATAATCAATGTCCACAGTGCCATCGTCGTCGTYATTCCCCTGGTTATGATCATCGCTGATCAAATCTGTCTCGGTGATATTTGAGCTACACCTGTCCGATGTTACTGGCGGCGCCAATATTTGTGAGAGACTGACGTTTTCCCTTCGTTCCCAAATATCTGCATGCGGAAATGTCAAAAACGAGTCGTAGGTTTCATGGCGCAAAAACACGCCAATGACATTTCGTTCATCATAGGCCGTGACGTTATTCTTCTTCAGATTTTCAAGCAATGCAATCGATGTGGCGATCGAGCGTTTTCGTTCCTCTGTCTGATTCGCCACAATTTCGTCGAGGTAAAGCCAGTCTTCCTCCAGAAGCAAAATATAGGGAGCTTTGCACAGGTTGTTGACRAGTAGATTCATWCCGTAAGCGAGACCCATGTTTTTAGGGAGTGTCAGAGCGTGTTCGATGGGATACGATTCTTTTATGTATTTCGTATCCTCTGCGGTGTTTCCGTTGTCCACCCACGCGATTTCATACCGAAGGAATGACGGCTCATCTTCTTCCATRTGCCGAATTGCTCCAGCAATGGTGTGATTTAGCAAATCGGTGCGTTGGCAGCAGCTCAAAAATGCCAAGCACACGTGTGGATCGGTCACGGGATAATGCAACCGCCTTGCCCGAAAATTAGGACTCGACGTAGCTATCGCTTGAAGCGAAGCCAAAGATCGAGATCGACCGGAATCAGGATTGATGCTTGGGGAAAGATCTTGTGGATCAATGTCTTCGCAGAACACGTTGGCCAAAAGGCCGATGCTAAAGAAGAAAGAAACAAAAAATACCACTGATGACGACATGGGCCGTGGCATGGTGGTCAACACGGTGGCGATGTGGAGATTGAATATACTCTGTCTATGTTCTTTTCTCTCGGACCCTTTCCTTGAAATCAGTTACCAGTGTGAAGTAATCATTCCGTTGTTGTTGTGTCAAATCACATGACATCAAGCGGACAGGATAAAAGTTGTGGGAAGGGATACTTGTGCCTCCTGGTTTCGTCGAACGATTCCCGCATCCGGATCTTGCTTTTTCACGTTTTATCGCTGACGAACTACGTACGAATACTGTAGGGCAATCACCTACTGGTACGTACGTATGAATATGAAACAGGGCATTCCAATTTCCAATACTGCTGCCACTGGCACGAAGATGTGAAAAGAGATCGAGGAAATTCGAAGGATGCCATCATTCATCATCAATACTTCTCATGCCAATCAGAATGTTACGTATGYGTTCGTCCGTTTAATAGGTATTTCTACGAGTTAGCGCCTTCTTCACCAAAACATATTCTTGCATGGGTATCTTGCTTGCTTGACTCTACCAAAAGCAATTCGAAATGACAAATCCTACTACTAGAGCAGGACTCTGCAATTTTTTTGCGGTTCTCGTTGGACTGTTTTGTCTGCGTGTCACCGATGGTTTCRTGGTTAAMAGCAGCCATCGGTCTTCCTTCCGAGAAGGTCTCTCACCGGTRTCATTGTCATCGACGCACGATGAACAAATAGAAAGCTACAGCGAAACTATTCCCTCCACCAACGAACTCACGAGAAGACGGRCCGGCCGCTTGGCGTTCCAATCACTGTCGACCGGTGTGTTGGCRTGGGGTTCGTTTCGGCAGCTCGCYCTTGCCGAGGATGGATCGGCCTCTACCGATTTCATTGTGGGGAAAGTCGTTCTTCCTACCGGCATGGATTCCCCCGGCGGCGTCGACAACGGTACCGAAACACCAACGACAAAACCCGCACTCTACATTACGGCCCGCCCCAACCGCCCGGACAATGTTCCGAGAGCAATCCTCGACGGAAGYCGTGGAAAGCCACCRCCGGTACTGGCCGCCCGATACGAAAACCCCGGTTTTCCCTTCGAGTTCCAACTAAGCGATAAAGATCTCACCCCCGAGGGTGCCGGSATCGAAAACAATGGCAGCAGCTCTGGCACGTTTTGGTGGAGCACCGACGACCTGGTCGTGAGTGCGCGTTGGGACAGCGACGGCATCGCTGCGACTCGTTCGCCGGAGGATCTCGTTGGAAGAAACRTTTGGAAGCGCGACGAGACMACCGGATCGTTTGTGCTCCCACTCCAGGGGCGGGGATCGTTCGGGAAATTTGCCACCAAAAAGAGTTGAGCTATCGCTAACGTAATACAGCTAGCTAACTAGCGTTAGCAGAGGAAAGCAAATGGTTGAACACTAGCGTCTCCTGCCTACATATGTCTAGTTTGTGTTTATACCATGTACAGTAGAGGGTAATCGTTAATCGAATTGATCGTCAAAACCGGATCCTGCGCCGTGAGTTCTTTTGGAATCTCATTCTGGTGGCAGCGCGAGCGACATGGGTCCGGTAACAATCGCTACGTCTGGGAGCCAATCTAAAACCGAAGAACACTCTTCGACGCAAAACTCTTTTTCCAACCGATGGATCAGATTCTGGAAGTACCTGTGCAGCACTGGAAGAGCCCTCTTCCCCTGTCGACACACACAAATTTAGAAGGATGAAAACTTGGCATTAGTGCCCACTTCCAGCCCTGCAATGCATCTAGCATTCCACGCAATTTGACCAATCATCACAAAAAGACASACAATCGTGGTTCGTACCGTAAGAAGGMGCTCGCCTTTCATRTCGACATAGTCCGGATGGTAGAGCGCCATCATATCGCCTCCCGTCCACTCGACGCCTCGAATCCTCAGSGGCTTTTCCCGCTTCGCGCCGCTAAGGTTTYCATTGTTGTCCTCTTCCTCACTGCCGGATGATTCCGGGYCGGGACGCTTGCGTTTGCGACCAATGGCACCGCCCTTGCGATGGCGATTGTATACAGTCAGTGACAATCGCCGATATCCCCCCGCACAGCAGGCCATGCAGTCGTCGACCTCTTCTCGAGTCRCCAGCATCCCCCATGGCTTCGTAGACCCCTTTGCGACGAAGTATCCCTGGATCCAATCCGGATCGTTGTCGTGCAAACAGAATATGGCCCTTCCCTCGATCTTGCGGCCCGCGTCGGAATTTCCATCGCCATCGCTGCCGCCATTGTTATCGGAAGGACCTCGGGGGCGGGTGCTGCCCCGATGGCGGCCCATACCGGCCCCGTCGTCGCCGAATCCTTGCCGGTCCCGTTTCATTCGTGTCCAATCGAGAGGCAAGGTTGTCCTCCAGTCCCCTCCGCCCGAAGCACCGTTCGAAATCAACGACGAATTCTTTCCGGTTTTAGATTTCTTGTTCGTAGACAACCACATTTTCGGTGGGGCGGTTAGGACGTTTCGCTATTTCCCGGACAAGACTTTGGATTGTACAGAATGCGGTCGAGTGTGTGTTAACAGAGTGTACTGTGGTGATGGAACTTTGACATTATTTCACTCGTARCTGTTACCGTATCATACGAACACTCTTACGTATCGTTCGATAATTTGATTGAACGGAATTCGTTATTCGTTCACAACACGAGGCATACATTAGTCCCAAACTACTACGGTACGAACCTGCGGTGTGTGTCGAGTTTTCATGTTATGGTACGGTAGCACTTCGTACATGCGAACAGTTTCGGGACCAAAAGTTTGTAGAAGTACTTTAAGCAGCGATTCTCTTTTGCTTATTGGACACATACGGAGGTTCCGTACGTAGATACTATTACTGTACTTTTACTTAGTACTTCAAGTACTTTACGATAAATAAAGGGTCATAGTGGATACCTATTATGGGACGATGGAACTASGAGTAGAATATACTGTACTATGTACGTACGAACCTCTTTAGATGAAATCGCGATGTTCGGTGAATTACGGACGATAACGTACGGTACGATACTGTTAGTACAATTACTACTAGTAATCTACAAGTTTGCTGCTCATCGCCCCCATTTGTTTTCTTCAGTGATTTATGTCGGTAGTACGTCGTTCTCAGGGGATTCTCAGGGGACAATTTACACGAATCCGTTCTCATTTTACTCTCTCATCATCAACATCTGCGTTGCTCGGGGCTACAACATACTGTTCGATGTCGTCGAAACAATGAAATTTTGCAAGAATCTACAACGGGTGGTTGACATCTCCGACCCTGAATGGGCTCCTTATTGGACAAATTACAAAATGCTAAAGGTGGGTTCAGTTCAGAGCGGCAGGTGATTTAATTGTTCGAATTAAAATGGAATTTCTTCATTGAACCCTACGTAGGTTTCTACGGAGTTWACGTACGACAAACAATGGGCGAGAGATTCGTAGGGGATTCGTCTGGGTTCTCGGTTTGTTCACGTATTCAGCGGGGTGGATGGAGCCCGCAGCGGTATATCATWTTTTTCTCACAGCATCCTTTTTGTTKAACCATTTTGATCATTGTACTGCAGAAATTAATCAAGGAGCTGCCGTCGCTTGTCCCGAACACAGAYGAGGGCAAAAGCAATGACCAAGCCGAGAAGATTCGTCGAGATTCCAATGAAATCAGCGGCGACAAAACCGGAGAGGGAACGAAACAGCAGCAACCAAATGCCCCCACAATACAACCGAGAAGCTCGCAGCAGGTATCTATATCTATGGGGAAGTCCCCAGGTGAGGTTGCCTTTTTTAAATTGATCCATTCGGAATTCAAAAAGGCTTCTCACTTTTTCGACCGCGCCACCGAAGAATTCGCRATTCGGGAGGAACGGGTGCGTCAGGGAATGGAAATTATGAGGAAACCCAACTCGATTATGGTCAACGAAAAATGGGCTCTCATGGCGAAATCTATTTACAGGCTGTACAAGGATCTTCTTCTGCTGGAGACCTTTGCCATCATGACGTATTGCTCSTTCTCAAAAATTCTCAAGAAACACGACAAAGTCACGGGATATGAAACCAAAAATGCTTTCATGGCGAACATTGTAAACAAGGCCAATTTCACACACTATCCGAAGGTGTTGAGCATGATCACTCGATGCGAAAAATTCTACGAGGAAGTSTCTCAGAATCTTCACAAAGAAGGAAAAGAAGGACTATACGAAGACGAGCGTACGTCAGCTATTGTTTTTTCGTTTGTTTTGTGTTTATTCTTGGAACCGATGAATGCAAAACACTTGCAATTATCTTGCCCTCTTGTYATTGTCACTTTTCTTCATGGCTTAATGTCATTCGTACTGAACCGATCGTTTCATCGTATCCTTCAATTTGTGTCACGCAAAACCCAGGTCTATTCATCAGCATGATTCATAGATTGAACGAGCAGGTTTTGGACAGTGCCGATAGTGCCGCTTTGCCAAGAGAGCGGAAACAAGAGGAAGCGCCGCGCCGGAGTGGAGGTACCGACGTKTCGGCTGTCATTTCGTTCCAGTCCAGCAAGTTGTCGTCGGCAACGTCAACGCTACGTAGTTTGGTGGAAGAAAATGAGGTGAATGCCAAAAAGGCTGCTGGTCCGTCKTCTATACCCTCGACGGCAGGAGGCAATGTATCGGAGGAAGTGAACAAAGGTGAAGAGGAGGACGAGGATGATTCTGATGTAGAACGTGGARTAGATAACAGGGCAGCAAAACGTACAAAGGTACAATAATGCACAACCGAGCCACCTTTGGCCCWACATTGATTGTAACGCATTGCCTGGGGTAAMTGAGATTTATTTGCAACTAGAAAGTTGCAAACTGTACCATTAATTAACCGATTCACTTTTAGACTGGCTCCGATTTCAACGCCATATTCAGATTGGTATTCGTGGTTCTTTCAGAAGTATATTTTCCTSTTCTTCGATAATTGAAGAGCTTTTTGTAGCCTACGGATGCATTGCAATAATACKTAAAAGCACAATAAATAATTAAAGGGAGAAGCTGATTCGTCACTTCCGGAAAGATCTAGTTCTCGAATTGGCGAAAGTAGATTGTGATTGTCCGAGGTATGTGTACCCGGAACTTTGTTGGTGCGACAATGGCCTAGCAGCTATACGAACGGCTTGCTCTGTAGTTCGTCCTCGTGCTCTTTCACGTATAACTTAAAACGCTCGGCGGAGTTGTATACCATCATGCACTCGTCTACATCCTTTTGTATTGGCCGGCAATTGAAGGGCGCAAACAGGCCTTCGTCCTTGATGCATTCGGCMAGGGCACCGATCTGCAAATCGCATTTTTTCATAGCTTCGGCCTTGAACTCTTTCTTTAATTGGTTCTCGGCAAAATTCCGAAAAGAAAGGCGACCTTCTCTCCCCGTATCCTTCATCGCAGCGGTATCCCTCGGGGGTGGCGTATAATTATTTGACGTAGATGACATGGTCTCTTCCGGGACTTCCTGCTTCGTTTTAACGGTCAATCAGATGTGTTTCGTTTATTTTACCACTCTTTGTTACCCGGTTATTGATTATGAACGTCGAATTGTTGTCGATTTTTTACTTGGGGAGAGTTCGTAGGGCACTGAATGGGACCTCGTATCTTGCGATAGCACAGTGATGACTCACTTGTGGTCTGAAGACAAGCAAAGGATCTCAAACGAGAGATTAAGTTCGTACTACTACGGATACCTCTTACCGTACGGTACGTACGGTACTCTTACTTCTAATTCTTTTTCGTCCAAGAATGAATGAAATCTCCCGTTGCGCCCTTCGACTAACTTTACCCCTACGATCGATACCTTAGAATCCAAGTCGCGATACCTTAGAATCCAAGTCGAATTAGGAAAAAAATAAAAAATACTACTAACACATAATAATCCCCAGGCCAGGGGCTCGTGACTCGAGAGGGTGCGATACTACGGATATCATAACAAGTGATCGCCACACTAAGAAATTGGTTCCCATCGTTATTTTAATGGTGCCATCCTTAGCCCAGTAGAACACAGTACAAAATGTACTGAGGTAGTTTGCAACTATTCTGGTGGCGGAGAACCAATCCAGCTTCTTTCTCAGAAGGCAAAACATGCCGAAAATTTTGGGGAGAGCAACACTCAGTAGAGCTCTGTAGAATTTGTACTGAAAAAATTAAGGATGGCATCATTAAAATAACGATGGGAACCAATTTCTTAGTGTGGAGATCACTTGTTATGATATCCGTAGTATGTCTAATAATCGTCGAGTAATTAGTCGCGCGCAGGTAATGATCATCTGGTAATCAGGATGGTAATCAGGCCTGCATAAAATAATTTAAAATGTGCGCATGGGTTCTTCTCCTAGGGTGAGAGCAAGGTAGGAGCACGAATCCCTTAGGAGAAGAACCCATGCGCACATTTTAAATTATTTTATGCAGGCCTGATTACCATCCTGATTACCAGATGATTACCGAGTAATCAACATGAGGCCGAAACCGAGGGACGAGGATGAGACCGATGTTGATTACTCTAGTAACTCACTGAAGTTGTGTCTGAATCCGAGGGACGAGGAATGAAGACACAACTGAAGATGAGTTACTTTAAGCGCTCAGACTAATTGACTCGACGATTATTGACGTAACAGACTGGTTACTCAGTTTTTGCCGAGTAACCGCGGCACTGGCAAATGAACTACAAGCACTGCCTCCGCGATATAGGGGAACGGGCTCTTTTCCCTCCCTGGATCCAGAAAATGAACTACGAGCACTGACTGATACGGAGATGCTTGCTGATACGGAGACGCTGATACGAGTCGCTGATACTGCAGTGTCCGCTGATACGAGTCGGCAAACAAACTACAAGCATTGCCTCCGCGATATAGGGGAATGGGCTCTTTTCCCTCCCCGGTCCCTCCCTGGATCCGGAAAATGAACTATGATATGGAGGAGGCTTGCTGAAACGGACGCTCGATACGGAGGAGCGTTGCTGATACGGACGCTCGATACGGAGGAGCGTTGCTGATACTGACGCTTGATACGGAGGAGCGTTGCTGATACGGAGGACGCTATGGAGGACGCTTGCTGATACGGTGTCCGCTGATACGGTGTCCGCTGATACGGTGTC